TAAAGGCCCAAATTGAAATAATTTTATAAGTTTAAGCGATTCAAAATTTCAACATATTTGCAAGTCCAATCACTCAAAATTTCAACAGCCTTCCAACTTCTAATCTTGTTAGAGGGCATTGGGAAGATTGATAACCTACCAAAATTTCTGTAAGAAGCCCTAGTCAGTGTCGTGAAATACTTTAGGGAGCAAAACAAAGTATTTTAAAAAAGAGCCTATAAGACACTTTGAGTCTTCAGTGTACCTGAAAAAAGCCAAATCATGAGAATGCATATTTCCCTGAATATAAATTTTACTTTCCTTGAATATATACTTCACTTTCTCTAAACGATACTTACGTCTCTGAACAAGTACTCGAGTTTCCCAAGAGAAGTACTTAGATTCTACTTCCTTAAAAATGTTACCAAATCGAGTATACAATTTCCTTAAATGATATTTAAGTCCCTTGGATATACTTACATGGTTATAAATCACACCCTCCACCAAACGACCGTTTTATACATTTTCAAGTGGAGCTGACGAAGTCGATAATGTTGAAATGACTGAATTGACGATCAATGGTAAGAGAAAGTCAAATACAAAACTTTTCTTTTCAAATTTTTTATAACAATATAAAATATAAAACACTATTGACCTCATTTTTGGCCAACCCTCTTTCCTTAAATGAAGCTTGGTTTTACTTCACTTAAGCTTAATCTTAACTAAATCGACATGAAATTATTGATTTCTCTCCCGTGGTTGTCGTAAGGCTTCAAAGTCATTAAGCTTCATGAATCTTATCATAACTAATAATGATCATGCAAATTAATCTGATGATCAATCGAAATAATTTTTAATTAAAGTTTTGCACTTAAGGTTTTCATGCATGAAGATGGGCTTACAAGTCATTGTTTTTGAAAATGGATTTCACCAATGCGTCTACATCATCAAAATCTTTCAAATGAGTCCTTCGGTGCTCAACTTTGACCCCCTTTGAACACATTTTGATCAAATGATAATTAAGAGAAAAAAAAAAGATAATTAGAAGAGATAACATGATAATTAGACCAAAGCTTTTTTAAAAAGACTTCAAATTGACTGCAATCTTCAACCAAAGTTGTTTTAAACATTAAAATAGATCATTGGAATAATTAAGTTCAATATAAATTTTTTGTCAAAATTGATCATTTTCTCTCTCCTAGGATGGAGCCCACTTTCACCATTCATATCTTTTTATAGAGCTTAAATTAGCTAAAACTATTTGAACCATGTAATTATTGCATTTTTCTTTATCATTTTCACCAAAGTCAAATTTTTTTTTCAAAGTCAACTGCCCAACCACCACAATACTTAACCAACCAATTTTGAAATTCAAATGACCATAATTTTTTGCTACACAACTCTGTTTTTAAAACTGTTTACACTTTTGAATTCCTTGTTTTATCCTCTTCAAAATGGTATATAATTTCAAAATTTTCTCTTCAGACTTAACAGTTTTAGAGAGAAAACCCTCATTTTTTTGACGTATTTACAAAAATGCCCTTGACCTATTTAATTAATCATTTATTTTATTATTAAATGACACATAAAAAATCCTTGTAATTAAATTTTATTGGTCCAAGGGGCAGCAATCAAAATCTCTCCCTTTAGACCAAATCATGGCCATTAATTTCAAAATAAAACTTGTTTTTTAATCCTACCCATCCATCACCACACTAACCTTTCAAAACTGCCCAATACTCCTCTCTATAGCAAGGAATCATGCCACATTCAACCCCCCCAATACTCCTCATTATCCTAACTTAAACCCTCTCTATAGCAAGGAATCATGCCACATTCAACCCCAAGGCTTCCTCCATTGGATTTTCTTTGCTCTTCCACTCAATTCCTCCCAAAAAATTCTCTCTTTTTTCAAGCAAAACCAAAAAATTTCTCTTCATTTCCCATCAAATCGAGAAAGCAAGCAAGGTAATCAAAGGATAATCAAGGCAAGCAATCCAATTATTTAATTTTAGAGGAAAGGTATCACATTTCTCCACCAATTTTCTAAAATTTTATATCCAATCAAAGGGGATCTGATCAATTCTTATTCTAAAGGCCTGAGATAATATTTTTGTGTATTTTCATGCAAAACTCCATGAATTTCATACAAGTTTTTATCCAAACTAAAAATTTGTTGCATATAATCATAGGGTTTTTATCTTAAATTCAATATATACCATTCATGAGAAATTATTTTAAATAATTTATATGTTTTCATGCTTAATTGGACAAAACCGAAAATGTGTGCAAGCTTTATTGAAATTTGTTTAGACATTTGTTTAAATTTTGTTTCTATATGTTTAGCTATTGTTCCATGCAAATGAAATATATCTTTTATCATGTTTTAGTCCAAACTGAAATTGATTAACATGAAACAAAGGGATTTCCACTTTATTATGGTTTATTCTGTGAGTTTAATGTTTTATTACAATGTTATACATGTTTCTTCGTATGTTTATTTCAAACCGAGAAACCTAAATCAAAAAATAATGCTTTTGTGCATTACATATGTTTATCTCAAACCGAGAATCCTAACCACTCAACAGATCCGCACACCGGATAGATCGAACCCTCGACCCCATGGGGCTTAAAACTGACATAGCAGATGCCAACCAAAAAGACAGGAAACACAACGTCGTGTAACCTGGCCCGTTGGTTGGCATTCTTGGTGTAAGACCCCTCAGGTGGGGGGTTTGAATCCCCTCTACGACACAAGCCTTACGGAGGTGGTACTCAAATTGTTAGGCATATAAGGAGTGGCATTCTATATATATATATATATATGTATATCTATATCTATATCTATATATATAATATGTATGTGTATGCATGTAAGTGATCTAAAAGAAACCCCATGAATCATTCATATAATATTTCAATATTTAAGATTGTTTTATGTGATTTTGTTTCTCTTTTATTTATGTAATTCCAATGTAAATGTAAAACATATAAAAATAGTAAGAACCTGTTTGGTTGTCTATCTCTTATTTTTAAATATATATGAGATTAGATAGGATAATGGTTATGGGTTTAATTTGATAGATGAGAGGTATAGGTGAAGGAATAAGGCTTAATTTATATTAATTAAATGTGCTCAAATATGAAATATTTTTAAAAATATAAATAATTCCATTAAGAAAAAACACTATCTATCTTAAAGCATGTAAATTTAAAATTTAAATCAACTCACAAAAATATTTTTATATTCCAATTAAATAAGCTCTAAAATGTTCTTCTTTAAAAGATTTAGAAAAAGCTCAAGGATACATCTCTTTTAGAACTCTAAAAGAAAAACTCTTTTCTAAAAGTAAATCTCTCCTAAAGTAAATAACTTGTTTTCAAAAAGAAACTTCATCACTATAACTTATTCTATTGAAATTCCTTCTAAAGAAGAATCGCATTTATAAATTAAATCAAAAGCTCTAATAATTTCTTTTAAAAGGAATTCTATTTTAAATTTTCTTTTTAAAGAAAATTTCTCTTTAAAATTAGTTTAGATGAATTAAAGAAAAATATTTTCAAAAGCTTAAAAATTCCTTTTAACTTGAATTCAAAGAGAAAAAATATTTTAAAATCAATTTTAAGTTCAAAGATCTTTTTTTTAAAATATTTTCTTTAAAGGAGTTCCTTTCTTTAAGGGACGTACGCAGCGATACCTACGTCCTCCAATGGGCTCTTAACAAATCAGCATAGTCGGTCCCACCGCATTCATTCAAACAAATCAACATAGTCGGTCCCACCGCATTCATTCAAACACGACCCGTCGACCCGGCCCGCTCGATTATAACCGAGTTATAGTAACGGAGCGGGCCATTACCGCGGTACCGCTCGGATAACACGCTTGTAACCTTCCAGTAACCTCGATACGAATGAACCGTGTTTATAACCTCGCTGTAACCAAGACGTAACCGAGAGTTCAAACCGCGCGTTATATCGCAGCAGTATAATTGAGTTGTAACTAAGGCGTAACCGAGATAAAGTGAAGCGTAACTTTGTAAACGAACTATAACTTAATTGTGACTAAGAGTTCATACCATGCGTAACTTTGTAAACGAACTATAACTTAATTGTGACTAAGAGTTCATACCATGCGTAACTTTGTAAACGAACTATAACTTAACTGTAACCGAGAGTTCATACCGTGCGTTGTAACCTTGCCTCAGAAATCGAAACGTCTGTGTAACTTGGCGGTAACCTAGGTAGTGAATGTAATCTTCATTTAACGCCACTGATCAAATACCGTGGTAAAAAATTTCCTGACAGTAAGAATTCGTATTTTCGTTCGCGCCTAGGGTTTGCATTGACTCGAACGTTATCGAAAATGGAGGACAGCGGCAAGGGCACGACGTCGTTGGAAGAGGAGAATGTTGCCCATTTTGAGGAGGCAGAGAAGCCGGATGTCGAGGAAGGCAAGAAGTTTGAGGTCGAGCTGCCAAAGATAATGGTGAAGGGTGGACGCAAGAAGAAGGATTTAGGTGGCTCCAAAATAGGGAAAACAGAGGAGACCGAATCCATAAAGCAACCTAAGGCCGTTTCTAGGTACATTTGATATTTTGCTTTCGTTAATGTTTAATGGTGAATTTAATTTCTTGATTTATATTAATTCTGAATGATGAATTTTAAGACTGAATTATAGAAAATTTTAAATTTCTTTCATCATTATTTACATAGTTTAACATACATTAAAATTAAATGTAGGTTTTTGAGCGCGAAATCAATGAACTGCAGATGTCGTCCATCTGCAGTACGAGAAGCTCTGGATAAGGTCCGGCCCACCATCGACGAGCACACGTGGAATAAATTAGAAAACATGAGCTTGGTTCAATTTTTTGAACTCCCTCCATACCCACAGGATCATATTCTGACAATGCATATAATTAACTGTTGGAATATTGGTCGAAGGACATTTCAGCTGGGTGGGAAAGAGCTGAAATTTGATGTTGACCAAGTTGCTCTCCTAATAGTCATGCCAAATAGAGGGTTGCCCGCATCCTGGAATAAAGCTCCATCATGTAGTATTGATGCGAGACAAATGAAGACCCAACTTATCAACTTTGACCCAGGAGAGTCTTCTGACCGTTTCATAGAATTATTAATAAAGTTCTTATGGACTAATTTACTTTTTCCTTCAAGTAATTTTAGAGTTTCCAAGCAGCTCACCTCTATTTGCGAGGACGTTGAAGCATTCAGCTCGTATAATTGGCCCGCGACAGTGTGTGGCTTTTTGATTGATCAATTGAACTTATGTGCGGTGAAGCTTAGGACGGATCAGCCACTTGGATATATTACTGGCTTTGTCTTCCTCTTAACGGTTTGTCCCGACATTATTATTGAAATCTCTTTTCATTATTGTTGATTTTGATACCAATTAGTTAATTTAACTTGCTTAACACAGCTCTGGTTTTATGAGCACACATCATTGGTCGTGCCAGCAGTTCCTGAGGCTAGACCCCGAATGATAAGATGGCCAGTAAATGTTAGATGGAATGCTATACAAATTCAACTAGCGTTCAACATGCTCAGCCCTGCCGAGGTTAATTAAATAAGGTTCAATTATAGTTTGTCAAGTTGTCATGTTACATATCTTACGAGGTTACAAACCCGGGAAACCTTGCTTTGGATGTTACAGAAACGTTACACGGAAGGTACATTGGTCGGGCGGAGTGTAGAGGTTACCAGGGAGTTATACAGCCTCGGTTCATACCGCAGCAGAGTTACTGTGTCGGTTACAGCTCAGTTATAACTCTAGGTTACAACGCGCTGTATGAACTCTCGGTTACATATCAGTTATAGCTCGTTCATTTTTCTAGGTTACACGATGCTATGTTACGTCTTGGTTACAACGAGGTTATAAACACGGTTCATTCGTATTGAGGTTACTGGAAGGTTACAGGCCTGTTATCCGAGCGGTACCGCGGTAATGGCCCACTCGGTTACAAATCCTGTACCGCTCGGCTATCCGCTAGGTTATAACTCGGTTATAATCGAGCAGTCAGGTCGACGGGGTCGCGTTTGAATGAATGCGGTGGGACCGACTATGCTGATTTGTCAAGAGCCCATTGGAGGACGCAGGTATCGCTGCGTACGTCGACGTACGCAAATTTTTTCCTTCTTTAAGAGACTAGGGTTCGTGCTGAGCGGTGAGAAAGTTGCGGCTCTAGGCTTCGGTTCGAACAGGTATGGCAAAGTCGAACATCTCGTTATGTATGAGGGGAGAAGAAGGGCATTGGGCTTCTCGGCTTGGTCGCGTGAAAGGTGAACAGGGAAACAAGGCTTCAGCTCTGGGTACAGAACGAAGAGAGGTCGCAAGAGAGAAGGGAATGCGGGAAGTTTTGGAGGTCTATGTACGCTGCAATCCCGTCTTCAATCACGAGAGGCAACGAGAGCTTCTGTTTCTATCTGTGAACAGAAGAGGCGAAGAAGACGACAGGAAGAGGGAAAAGGAAAATAAGTCAGACTGAACAATTACAGGAAATATGATTTGGAGTGTAACAAATTCAACTATTAACTTAATTAATAGTTTATCTAATAAATTTGGGCTAGATCCTCACTTTTCCCTAAAAACAAAATGAACACAAAAAAATTCAACGTGTTTTTCCCACGCCCATAAATCACTATATCTTCATCTCAAAATATAGATATACATATTTGAATATATATATATATATATATATATATATCTCCAATAATGGAGTAAACAATGAGTTGATATGTAAATACTCCAAAAAGATTTGATCTCTATCTACACCTAAATTTTACTAGCTAAATCATCTAGCATTGTAACTCCATCAAATCTCATTGGATGCTCAATAGAAGTGAGTAGTTAGAATTAGATAAAGAGATTGACTAGGATCAACAAAAAGCCGCCAGAACGGGCAAAAAGGTCAATTAAGATCAAACAAAGTGATTGACTAAGGTAAATCGACAAGATCAACCAAGATCAAGGAATAGGTTAATTAAGATAAAGAGGCCAACTAAGATCACAAAAAGACATACTAAGATCACACACACACAGATAGATAGATAGATATATATATGGTAAAATTTAAGCATGTACATTCTAATATTTTACTTGCTATGTGTGTAAATCTCTCAATCTTTTTAAGCTATATAACAGAAAGATATTTTGTCAAGATACATATCCTACACGTTTTTTCACCAAAATTTCCATCCTTAATGAGCAATTTAGTTTTAAGGAAATCTTACTAATAAAAGAGGGATCTAATAATAAATATACAGGACATTGGGTCTAGCTGTGGTTCCTGAATCATGAATAAATGATACAAATTGCCTCTCATGCACTGTTGTAAGTAAAGAAGCAACTCATAAATCAAGGCATTCTAGACTCGAATAATGTGGTTTAAAAGGGGCATGTTTTGCTGCAGTGATCACAGTAGCTAAAAAAACTTTACCTCTTCTTTGCGAACTTGGGGTTTTTGCACATGCGTATGCTTTTAGGTGTAACTTCTACCAGTTCGTCTTCTTGAATGTATTCGATACAGTCATCCAAACTGTAAAATAATGGCGAATCAAGAACCACTGCATTATAAAACAAATAAAGAATGCGTCAGTTTAGGTAATCTAGAATTAGTTTATGGCTCTAGCAAGTATTTTTAAGAAATTGGTTGAAATCGAAAATGATGCGCAAGATTTAGATGATGTCGAAATCTACATTAGCAGCCATATTCCAAAAGTAGGAAATACATTGCATTAACTAGTCTAAGCGGTGAGGTTTGGTGCTCTGTCCATCCCCTCTGGAAACAAATATATAAAAAGGATGATTTACACAAATATCACTCAATTCTTATATATTTACATATCTAACAACTAAACTTCAATTTTTACACACACACACATATATATATATATATATGCCACCTTACATGCATTAAAAGGCGTATTTAACATTTTAAAAGTTAAAACAGTGGTGTTTTTTGTGAGATGAAAGATCTGGGTGGTGCAAATGTAAAAATCAAATTTTCGGTGTAAGATTTGTAAATACATAGGAATAAACTGGTATGTATTAAAATGCCCCTAAAAAGGGCAAAGGTACTAATCAATAGCAAAAACCACTTGCTTCCCTGCATTTCTGGACTGGTGCTAGACACCAAAACAATTCTTCCGAGTTTATGTTGTTTGTACTTTCAAAGAAATGAGAAGAATGGAAAAGATCAACCATCCCTTTGAACCCAAATAATACATTAGACAAATAATTATTGAAGAAAGCAAGGCACGAGCACCCAATATATCTAAACAAGAGAGATAAACTCATTGTCAGCTTGCAATGAATAGTTATAGATTTTCACCTGTCTGTTCCTTGTTGGATCTTACATTAGTTGCAGCCTTCTTCTTGCAAACATTAAGAGATAAATCACCAGGACGTTGATGGATGCCAACAATTTGACCTTTATAAACTTCCACTCCAGGGCTCACAAACATCTGGCCTCTTTCCTGAGCACTACATAAGGCGTAAGAAGTAGTAGTTCCTTCCTCAAATGCAACCTGTATTGTAGTTCCTACTTTCTCAGACAAACAATAACTTGATACACACAAGGTCTTAGCTCGTAAACATTACCAAAAAAAAATGGAACCCAGCTCTTACCAAGGATCCTTGGTCCCTTGTGCTAATATCCCCAGCCCATGGTCCATAGCTATCAAAAACTGTGTTCAGAATTGCTGTACCCCGCGAAGCTGTTAGGATTGCATTTCGCAGCCCAAGAAGACCGCGTGGTACTTTAATATCGATGTTCCCTCCAAACTACATGGAAATCAGCACAAGAATACAAGGCATAAAATTTCTTGAGAAGAAGGGAACAACAATCAAAATGGATGCAGGCATGTTACCAACGTTAATTAAAAGCTTAAGGATACGGAAAGTGTTGAAAATTGGACCTACATAGGGTCCTATTGGTAAAAAGAGAATATTGAAGAAGTTGAAGGGTTTATTTGTAAAACATTATAATACCCTAATTAAGCTCATGTTATGAATGTACAGTGAATGTTTTGAGCAATTCGCTCTTTTTGATAAATAGAGCCTAGCCTAAGCGCCTCACGAATGCCTTCACAAGCTCTGATCACGTCTGTATCGCAGGTTAGGTCACGTCGTCGCCTTCACAATAAGCTCTAATTGCGACTGTCTCGCAGGGTTCGGTCACAAAGATGCGAGAACCTAGCCGCCTCACATCTACGCCTTCGCGCCTCATGTTGCGACTATCTCGCAGGTTCAAGAAGGTGAGGGAACCTGGCCACCTAACACAGGGTTTCTCTGTACGATGTGATACCAGAGCTACTTTCCCGGCTGTATCGTGAGAGATTCGGGCAGAAGAAGGCTTATGTGGTTTGTTGTGAGTGGAAGGAATGAAGCGACATTGCGCAAGAACAGGGAGAGACAATAGAGAGGATTAGACAAGGGGAGATGCGTGACATCTGCATACCGAATTTGGAGAAGGAGAGAAAAAACGGTTGATGAGGATCTCAAACTTGACAGTGAAGTAGATAAATCGAGTCAAGAAGAGGAAGACGCATGTGATCTAGACTTGGATCTTTGTGATTGAGTATTTCAGGAGCAGATGGTGAAGGAAGTAAAATATTGGAACATCTGAGGAAGATAGATCGTATTTCAGGAGCAGATGGTGAAGTAAAATATTGGAACATCTGAGGAAGATAGATCATAAGATTTTGAAGGCCTTGATCGGACTCATACATGGAGCTAGCAACTCGATGGGAACAATTATCTCAGCACATGCTCCGACACAGGTGAAGCTAGGTCTCCCTCCTTTAGATCTGAAGCTTGATGGAATGGCCACGTATCTAAGTCGATCGCGTCGAATTGAGGTTATTCTAATAAGAAAGAGACGAGGAATATCTGACGGGAGTCAAGAATGAGCAAGAGGGTGACAACGCTGTGTGGGATGAGTAGAGAACCACACATCTTTACACCTAGCTTCTCCACTTGTAGGTTCCATGATTACATTGATTGCCTCATCAATAGCTGGAATTCGAAAAGTGAGGGACATCTGGACAAAGCTGAAGAAGATTTATGCTGAGCAGAGAACCACATGATGTTCCAAATTCGGGGTGAGACAGAGGCAGTGGTATAGGGTGATCGATTTATTTGGGAATACAAAATAGATTTGGAGAGACTGCTCGTGGATTTTAATCACTTCTCATCGATATGAGCTATGGTGATCTAGAGTGCAAGAAGGGGGGTCTTTACACAAACGAAGACTACGTAGTTTCTGACCTATCTGAACCTGGTCTTTGATCAGATGAGATTAGTCCTCCAAGCTCAAGCGACTATCCCTTCAATAGATGAGGTTATTGCTGCAATGATACAAGATGAGGGTCGCAAGAAACTACACTCTGAACCGAGTGAACTTCCAAGTGAGCGATCAACGTTGCTGCCTCGAGCTCACAGGTAAGATAGGTGCCCCAAGGGAGACTCACAAGTACAATTGTGGTGAAGTCGGGTATCTGAGGAAGACCAGTCCTAGGCCACCTTAGGAAAGAGAGAGAGAGGAACGTGGACAGGGTGGAGGTCACTGTCGTGATCGTGGTAGTCAAAAAGGGGAAAAAGGGGTCTACTTGGCAGGATAAATAGGTGTGGCTTTTAGCAATGAGGATCATGAGTGGTAGTGTTGTTGAAGAGAAAACAAAAAGATTCTGGTGCATTTTGACATGTGATAGGTACTGCTTGAGAGTTTTCTTCCTATACTCCCCTAACAATGCCAAAGAGCATCGAGGATACTAACAGTATAACATAGCTTGTAGTTGGTAAGAGTACAGTGAGGGGTACCAATTATATGACTTGTTTAATATTTTGCATGCTCATTTTCCAGTGAATCCTTTATTAGTTAGTATCGTTATTTTCCAACTAAAATGTGTTGTTTCTTTTGATATTCCTATGGTGATCTTTCAAGAGAAATGGATGGGTCAGACACTTGGGACTGGAATGTAAAATAGTAGACTCTAATACTTAGACCGGAAGAGAATAGACTCGGCATTGACATCCATGGTAGAGTGATGGACTAGGAAAATCTGGGAGGGAGTGTGGAGGATATGTTGCTGTTACATCAAAGACGCATGAAACACTATTATTTTAATTTATTGAGTTGGTTGTATCTTACTTTGTATGAAAAGAAAAATACACAAAAACTATTCGTGATGCTTTTGAGTTTGGTAAGTTTATTATGAGCTCTTATATCAGTTCAGGGAATATGAGTTCTGGTGTTTTGCACTAATTTTTTATGATGTTTGAGGACCTTGTTCTACAAGTTTTATGAATGGTTATCGATATTTTGTAACCTTTATTGATTATTTTTCTCATATTATTTGGTTATATATAATGAAAAATAAGGGTGATAAATTTGCTTACTTTAAAGACTTCCACAAGACTATTCAAACTAAATACAATGCAGTAGTGAAAATATTAATGTCGGATAATTGGACAGTATACCAACAAAGCATTTGAAGAATACTTGTAAGCCCAAGAGATACAACATCAAACCACATGTCCATACGCACCGGTACAAAATGTAGTAGAGATAAAGAATCGACACCTCTAAAGGTTGCCTAAAGCATGATTATCACAATAAATGTCCCAAAGCAGTTATGGGGCAAGCAATTTTGCAGCTCCTCAATTGATCAATGGGATGCCACCGAAGGTGTTGGATTGAAATCTCCTTACCAGATGTTAACAGAAGGTAATAGCGGGATCCTCTCATTGATGTGTTTGGGTTTGTATGTTTTATTAAGGATAATAGAAAGTCAGTAGGAAAGTTGGTTCTCAAAGATGTGAAAAATGAGTTCGTAGGTTATTCTGCTACCCATGAAGGGGGATGTTTGTTGTAACCTGATAAAGATACTATTTGGGAGCATGGATGTCATTTAAAAAATTTGAACCGTACTACATCCAGGAGGTGACCTCACCATTCTGTGACTCATAAGGAGATACGAGACAAGACAAGGCGAGTAGCAATGGTGAGAGCAGTACACGTGAGAGCAATGCCTTGTACTGTGATATAGGATTAATCAGTTGAGAAACCAGAAAATAAGAGTGAACACAAAGGTGGTGGGATTCTAGGTGAAGGTGAGTTAAGGGTGTATACACAAAAAAGAAAGCAAAATATGGTAACGACACCTACAGTGTCACTTTTGTCTGCTAGTCCCTTGTCTCGTCCTTCCCCAACTATTGAGACACCTACATCATCTACCCTCGACTCAGAATTTCCAGGTGATATGATTCCTCCTATTTCTTCTCCTAACCCCCTAATTTTAAGAACTTATCAAAATAATGTGGGACAACATCCCAATCGTTTTCAAGTGGGAGCATGATATTGCTAACTTTGTTTTATATTATAGCATATCACCCTTACATAGAGCATTCATTGCACTTTTAGAGACTGTCGTTATACCCAATTGTTGGCAGGTCGTTAAGGAGGATTCCAAGTAGAAAGCGGCTAGGCATGAATAGCTTAGGGCTCTCGATAAAAATCGAATATGAATGGATGTTAGTACAAGCGGGGAAGAAGGAAATTGAGTGCAAGTGAATCTTTACAGTGAAGCAAACTCAACAAGAAAAGGTTGAGTGGTACAAAACACGGTTGGTGATGAAAGGGTACACTATGATGAAACCTTTGCACCAGTAGCAAAGATGAGCAGAGTGAGGGCACTGGTTTCTCTTGCAATGGATGGTGGGTGAAAGTTACACCAACTCAATGTGAAGAAAGTGCTTCTTCAGTTTGAGTTACTGGAGGAGGTAAATATGAAAATACTACCAAAATTTGGAACAGTCCAGACAGTGGTCAAAGCGTGTGGGCTCAAGAAGTGTCTCCTCGAGCCTGGTATGATAAATTTAGAAAGGCTGTGGTAGACATGGGATATCAACAGATCAATGCAGACCATATGATGTTTTTTCGATAACATGAAGGACACCACTATACCTGTTGTGCATGTTACTGACATCAATGTCACCAATGATGATAATACAAAGATTGTACAATTAAAGGTAAAATTTGACAATGAATTTGAGGTGAAGGATCTTAGACAGCTCAAAAACTTTCTTGGAATTGAAGTAGTTCATGGGCCAGAGGGATGGTCTTATCCTAAAGAAAATATGTACTAGTTCTCCTCACAAAAACAAAGATGCTCGGGTGCAAACCTACAGTCTCTCCAATTGACCAAAAGGCCAAGCTGAGTCCGAAGACAGAAAAATTGGTTGATCGTAAGAGGTACTAGAGATTGGAGGGTCATCTAATCTATCTGTGTCAAACTCAACTCGACATCTCTTTTGCAGTAAGCGTGTTGGGCCACGACACGCATGATTCAAGGAAGGGTGGTCATATGGATGCAGTGCATCAGATTTTGATGTATCTGAAGAGTGTATCAAGGAAGGGGTTGATCTTCAAGAAGAATGTACATATAGACATTGGGGGCTTTTGTAATGCTGACTGGGCAAGTTGTGCAAATGACAAAAGATTCACCTCAGGATACTACTTGTTCGTAGGGGCAACATGGTCTCTTGGAAGACCAAGAAACAATCTGTAGTAGCGAGGTCAAAAACAAGGCAGAGTATAAGGCCATGGCTTCAGAGTTGTCGAAATGATGTGGCTGAGAGCCTTGTTGGTCGAGCTCAAGGTGGACCAAGGAATTCAAATAAAGTTATGGTGCAACAATAAGCCCGCAATCATCATTGCCAACAACCCGGTGCAACATGATTGAACCAAATATGTGAAGATTGATAGATTCTTCATCAAGGAAAAGTTGACTGACGGGCTTCTAGAGCTAAATCATGTAGCCACTAGAGAGCAGGCGGCTGACTGCCTCCCTAAAGGACTTAGTTCATTAGATTTGTCAAGATTATGTGATGAGATTGGCTTGGTGGATATCTTTTGCCCATCTTGAGGGGGAGTGTTGAGAATTGGACCTTTTTTAGAGTACTATTGGTAAAAAGAGAATATTGAAGAAGTCTTGGGGTTTATTTGTAAAGCGTTATAATACCCTATATAATCCCATATTATGAATGTACAAAGAAGGATTTGAGCAATTCTTTCTTTTAAGAGAAACATGAACTTCAAGTTGGCTCCTCAGGTTCTATGGCATGCGTACAATCTTAAGAATTTTTAGGACTTAATTTGAAGCATGGCATCTACTACGCTCTGTTTGCGAAAAAAATGTTACGAAAAAAATGCATTGATAGTTCCATTCCTATGATAGAATTTTAGCAAGATCAAGTGTATGTTAAAAAGAAGTACAAACCCAATTCCCTGCATATCAAACATCTGCCCTCTCCTTTTTCCCAGAAGCTCAACAACAGGCCCCATGTGATCCTCGGACACCTCCACAGTAGCGATCTGGAAAAAAATCAATGGGATAAAATATTTGCAGCATGAACTCCTCAGAAATGATTTTCAATTTGCTATTATCAAAACAAAAATTGCTTATTCAACAAATAATGGGAACAGAGGTATTGCAAATCACCTCAATGGGCTCCAACAATTTGTCATCTACTCTTTTGTTTATAACCTTGGGTGGCCCAATCATGAATTCATAACCCTCTCTTCGCCTGGAAGGGTAGAGCTCATACTTAGTACCTTTTAAAGACAATGAAACGTTCTTTTAATAAAGCAAATTTGCATCTTACATGCTCTCTATCAAGATGGTAATATGCAATGTTCCCCTGCCACTAACAATAAATGTGTCTGCTGTTTCTCCATCTTCAACTCTCATCGCCAAATTTTTCTCGAGCTCGGTATAAAGTCTATCCCGAAGGTTTCGACTTGTCACATATTTTCCCTGATAAATCATGATATGTGCATAAGCAACACAAATGTGACACTTAACATCAGTGACCATAAAGATGAAATGCAAGACAATATCCAATATCCTAAAAATTCATGCTTAAAAAGAATGGGGATTGGTACAAGAGAAGCTTCAGGAGTGAGCAACAGGTGTTACAAACAGTAACTCACAAAGCAGGCTATGCTATAGCTAATTGATTCAAGCTAATAATAAAATCTACTACTCCTGCTATCCGAAGCTACCAACAATGCAATTTACTTATATTTAACCTTCACTGCAAATAATGCATATCTTGTTTAACAAAACTTCATTAAATGTGGATGTGTATCTTAGTCAACAAAATTTGATTAATCAAAGATACCGACTTTACAAAACTATGCCATCATTAATGCAACAAACTAGTAAAGATTAATTGAAGAGGATAGCAAAAACACATTTGCTAGCCAAGTTAAATAAGGAATTAGTAGATCTTCAAGAAGATTAAATCATCATAACCATAAAAATAGGCATATATTGGGCTCCTACACATTATAGAAACTTGAGAATTCGAGAGGTCCTAGTAAGAACTGATGATGTAGATTGAAGGGAGCTTTCGTCACCCACTTTAAAGAAGCAGACAAGCTAAGGATAAATTTGTCGATTCTCAAATATCATAGAGTATTGTATTATGTCTTCATAAATGTTGTACCATAAAAAAATCATTTGACCAAATTTAAATATGATACATCGAACCTGACGAAGCCCAAATATATTCATGGTTAAGATTCAATTGGCTATGAGGCCCGCACTAATCTGGCCTAAAAAGATCATTTGACCAAATTTAAATATGATACATCGAACGAAGCCCAAATATATTCATGGTTAAGATTCAGTTGGCTATGAGGCCCGCACTAATCTGGCCTAAAAAGAATTGACAAATCATATGAGGCCCGCACTAATCTGGCCTAAAAAGAATAGACAAATCAAATGCATGGGATATTACTAGTAATGATCAAAACTTTCCTTTTTCGTTCTTTTTTCGTAATCCCGCTCGCAATGCTTGCTTTGTTCGCAACTTTCCTTTTCTCCCCCGATCTTAAGCTTTCCTTTCCTGCTTTCGATGGTTCTCCCACCACCACATTTGGTTATTTAGGGAAGACGAAAGCTTTGGAGATCGCAACCCTCTCCCAATAACCACCCCTTCCCGGCTTTCGCCCAAAACCATCGCCTTCATGAGCGCACCACCCTTGCAATATAGTTGAGATTAGAGCTAATTAAAAAGGCAACGACGCGATCGTGGCATACAGGGATCTCATAAGCTTCTATACTTCTCCATTGTTGAAACTCATAAGCCTTCCTCACCTCCTTCCTCGGTCAAGTTAGCACTATAAGCCTCCGTTTTCCTTTTATTTTTTTAGGCAAATATTTTTTATTTAGTATATATAAATTTATTTTTAACAAGCTTATTATGAGGATACATCAAATAAAAATTAAGGTTTGATTGCATAAAAAAAATACATTGAATTCTAATGTGCAACACCAACATTTCATTACTGTTTGAATCATATAAAATTTAGAGTTTATTTTTCGTCTCGAGATAAGTAACTGCTCTTTAGGGATAAACATAGACTTCTTAAATAGAGGTGTTAACCTAACTATTTTTAATAGATTCCTAGGTATTTGTATGTTTGTCAGTCTTAACATTTAGATTTCGTTAATATAATTGTGGTATATTTCATTTTTAGTGCATGACTTTCTAGTGTAATTAACCTTATTTTATTGTTATATAGACTTAGGCTTTATTATAGTATTTGCAAATTCTCTTATACATATAATAAATCGTCCATACTTATTGTTCGTACCGTATACCTCATTTTATTTATTTTTTATGCTCTAAAGAATAGTTTTTATTTATTAAGTTTGATTTGTCAAATTTATCTGTTGATATTTTTATATGACAGGAGTCTCTCAATCACTTACCGATCTATCTCAACCAGAGCAGACCTTCCAGTTTTAGATTTATTTTTTATATCTTCAGTTTCGCATTAGTTATTGTATTTTCCTTCCTGGATCTAGATAGTTGTTTTCTTATTTTTATTTTAGGTTCTTTCACTTATCCCCTTGTCTTTCAGTTGTATCAATTGGACTCTTATTTATGGAATAAAAATTAGTTTTTCTTATTTCTTTACTTAATTACTTGCATACCCTTCTTTAAAAAGTACAAAATATGTTCAAATCTTTTCATTGTGCCCTCTGTCGTCGGGGTATACTGTTTTTTGAACTCAGTGTGTGACGGAGTGGTATCGGAGTATTATACAGCCAGAAGAAGAGAACTAAGTGACATATATAACAAAGTGTTACACCATGGGAGCCACCTCTTGAACCTTAGATGAGACAATATCATACATGGTGGGACCCACCACTTGAATTTGTAGGGTCACCTCTGGATTCTATTTATCTGGTGAATGATTCTGGGATACAAAACTGACGAAGATGTCAAGTATTCAAGTGGGGAAGATTGTAAAACCCATAATATTGACTGAAGTTGATCTCTTAAATATCAGGACGCCTTTTGGTGTAATGATAGAATTTTGATAGAAACTTCAAAGTTAAGCGTGCTCACATGGGAGCACCCCTAAGATGGATGGCCTCCCTAGAAGTTATACCAATGGGACAAAATCATGACGTCATTAGGCCAAAGCAAACAATCTTTGATGGTTGAGAGTTCGAGCTGGTATTAGTCATATTTTGTATTCAATTTTCCTTGTATTTTGTACTCAATATCTCTTTTCTTTTTGCACTCAATATCCTTTGCTTTTGCATTTCACGTGCCTTGTCTTCGCATTCCACATACCTTGTCTTTGCATTCCATATCCATTGCCTTCTTAGGATTTCATAGGGGATATGTTGTTGTGTTAGCCAATCTTGATTTCGTAAATTTCAATTGTTTAGAATGACTCCTAAAAAAAGAGGTGATGCAGTCGTTAGGGCAACAAATGTCTAGGGAGCTACTATAGAAGCAGTGCCCATCCCGAGAGGACTTTGTTCCCTTAATCTTCACCATGTTGTTCTTGCTCAAACATTCGAGACTACCGGAGCAACACCACTTAATATGTCAACTCTTGTGGAGATGGTGACACGGAAAGTTACCCAAGCACTACAAATCAATATTGCAGCTCATATTGCATAAGTGTTTCAGAAGATGCAGCAACCAGCTCAACTGAGACATCAAGAAGCCCAACTTGTACCCTCACTTCTATTGGCTCAAGCTGGCCAACCAGTGGTGATGGCCAACGGGAGTGCGATTAATCGAGTGATGGATTAATTTCTGAAGACGCTCTTACCTTCAATGGCATAGTGGGATCGATCGAGTCAAACACATGGCTTTATGATATTAAGAAAAAATTTCATGGAATCAAGTTCTCTAAAGACCACAAGGTGGACATCACTACATTCCAACTACTAAAAGAGCTGATGATTGGTGAGAGTCACTGTCGCAATATGTTTGAACCTGTTGTCACAATATTTTGGGTGGATTTCAAAAGATTATTCCTAGAGCAATACTTCTCTATGGGGGATTGAGCCAAGATTATGAATGAATTGAGAAAAGTAGAGAAAGGATCAAAGACCATTTATAAGTACAAGAAACAATTGGTCAAAATCGTCAAATTTATCCCTTCAATTGGCCAACACGAGAATCAGAAGATCTACCACCTACTTTCTGAAATATTCGGAGTTTGTCTGTTGTCAAGTGTACAACATAAAAATGGTCGGTGGATCAAGCTATGCATGCAAAGCTAGTGCTTAATAATTGTAAAGAAAAGACTGCTACAAAATGAAAGAACACAGGTGCTCAGCCACAAGGACCACAAAAGAAGCACCAAAAGATAAATTGAAAAACCAATTCTAATTGCCTCACTACGAAAAGTGACACCTTGGACCTTACAACCTAACTATTGGCAAGTGCTTCAACTGCTACAACACCGCTCACAAAATCAAGGATTGACCTTTCCCAGCCTAAACTTAGCCCACATTAAATCAGGAGAATAACATCAAGTAGCAAAAGAATGGGTGGCATAAATTTAAAATTGTCAACACCAAAAGCAAAATGACAAAGGACAAACAAGTAAATTATGCTTTCAGCCCCAACAGTAGACCACCGACATATCAAGCTTCAATGGTGCAATACCAGACTAAGAGATCTCAGGCTATGGAGTAGCTTAGGCAAGCGATTCATCCTCGAGCATTTGTTATCACTCAACAAGAATCTCATAAAGCTCATAATACGGTGACAAGAATTATCTCTATTTTTTAAGGGAACCGACAATGGTATTATTTGACTTTAAGGCATCACATTTATTCTTACAATACAAATTTGAATATAATAAATGATTATTTATCAAATTTGCATATATTAAATTTTATGTCATTTGACTCACTTTGAATGTCGCTCAGTATGTTTGTGATTATTATTAGTAATAATATGTATATGACTACTACACATGTAGTATTACCATTAGTTGAGTTTAATATAATCTTAAGTAAGAATTTTGGGACTAAATTCTTTTAGGAGGATAATATGTAAGAACTACACTTTATTATTTTTTTCTTTTCCCATAATCTCACTTGCATTGCTTGCCTTATTCGCGACATTCCTTTTTTCCCCATCTAAAGCTTTCCTTTCCTGCTTTGGTCGTTTTGCCATCGTTAGTTTCGATTATTTAGGGAAGATGAAAGATTAGGGCATCACAACACTCTCCCTGCATCCACCCCCCTCAGTTTCACCCAAAACGATAGCCTTCATGAGTGCACGCTCACGATAAAGTCGTAATTAGAGCTAACTAGGAAGGCAATGATGAGATCGTGGCAAACAATGACCACCAAAGCTTCTATATTTCTCCTCCTTTGCTGAAACCTGTAAGCCTTCCTCACCTCCTTCCTCGGCCGAGCTAGCTCCATAAGCCTTTGTTTTCCTTTCATTTTTTAGGCAAATATATTATATTTATATATGCATA